AACATACACTCAAATCTCACATAAATTCAGTACATGATCAGAGCAAACTTTTCGAATGTGAGATTTGTCACAAATCATTTGTATACAAGGGTACCCTCAAAACTCACATCAATTCTGTACATAATTATAGCAAACCCTTCGAGTGCGATATTTGTCACAAATCATTTGGATACAAGGGTAACCTCAATAGACACATAAATGCAGTACATAATGCAATCAAACCCTTTGAATGTGGGATTTGTCAAAGATCATTTTCATTGAAGGGTAACCTCAATAAACACATAAATACTGTACATAATCGGAGCAAATCTTTTGAATGTTACATTTGTCACAAATCATTTGGAGAAAAAAGTACCCTCAAAAAGCACATAAATGCAGTTCATGACCGGAGCAAACCCTTCGAGTGTGGCATTTGTCACAAGTCATATGGCCGCAAGGATGTTTTCGAAAGGCACAAAAATGCCGTACATAATCGTAACAAGTAGGATTTGTCCGGAGAGTTGTGGACGCAATAGAGATTTCCGCAATGTTATAAGCACACTTTGTAATGCTATAAAATGTTCCATATACATGTATTTCGATTTCGTGAAAAACAATAAAGTATTTGAAACTGTCATATTAATTTTGTTGTAATTGTTAAATAACTTTCTACTCGAACTTAATGTATTAACTAAAATATCAAAAATCCTCGGTATCTGAAGCAAAGTCAATGAATTTATCTGAAATTCATGGTTATCTTGAATAATTAAATTCTCATTGGGCCAAGAGCGTTCTTCTAAAAAAATTTCAATCCTATATTCACCAATGAATCTCCAAAAAATAACACTTCGTGCAACATCACCAAAAATACCAAAATTTCCAAACAATTGTATCAAAAAACACCCAGTTGAAAAACTAGTCTTCGAGCCTAATATCGCAGAGAGCTTCCACGCGAAGGAAGCAATAAACTCGCGCGGTCACGGTAATTAGTGTAAAGGGTGCTGCTGTTGCTCGAGGCGTCCTTAAAACGATTTCAAATACTCGGCAATGAGAGAGCGCGGGGCGCACGTATCATCACACAAACACACACACACGCTTCTCTTCACCTTCGCGGAATTGTCGTGATCGTCTGTGGCGCAAAAAGCGCATAGTATGCTACATAATACGTATACACGCGAGGCAGATCGCTGCTGCACCGAGTCTCCTCTGTACACGTGTATCCGCGCGAGTATTTGGCTGCGTGTGCGATCGTTAATGAGATCCGTGGCAGAGCAGAGAGCAGCGCAGCACGAGACGCGAATTTATGACCCTGTATTATGCACGTGTGTGCACGGCTTTTTGATTTCCCGCCTACCGATGCTATGTATGCTGCTACTGAGCTGCTTCATTTAAACCGCAACTGCCGAGCTTTTTGCGCTGCGGCTTTTAATTGAGTTTTTATACTTATAGGCGGGCGCAAGCGCGCGAGCCCGTATAATGCACCAGTCGAGCGTGTCTTTATAATGCGCCGGATCGGAGCACGAAATTTGCTGGGTTCTCTTTTTCGCTCTCGTTCCCCGGCTGGTGATTAAAAACCGAAATCGAGCGATCATCGAATTTCGGAAACGTCTTGGGTCACTTCCAGGTTCGCGAAAAGAGAAAGATGATTAAAATTGTAATTATGGTTTTGACGAGATTTTACTTTTGTATACGAAATGCATTTCATTAACTCGAGTGTACCGGTTGTTTACATAAATTATTTTTTGGCCAACTTTTCCTCTTATAACTAGCTAACGTAGTCTAGAGTTATATACAGAGCAAATAAGGAATGTATGCTGACTGTTGCAAGCTCGAGAGAGAGAGAGAGGAAGAACTCAGGGGGTAAGGAGAAAATTAAATGCAGCGATAACGGATGAAAATCAACTCGAAAAGCAGAGCAGAGCAGTAGTTCCGTGTGTACCAACAAAAAAAAAATAGAAGTCTCACGCGCGCGCGCAAATAAACACGCTCTCTCTCGCGTTCTCGGGGATGCGCTTAACGGTCAAGTTGGCAGAAACAGAGAGTCGGAAAACAAAAAAATTGGAAATGAAAAACAAAAACAAAAATAGACGCGCATGAACACGTACGTGTGTACGACGCGCGCGTATATGAGAAAGCCCATATCGCGTTGCGAGCGGGTAACAAAGGATGGTGCGCGCGCGCGAGTCCGCGAGAAAAAGAGAGACAGAGACAGAGAAAGTAAGACGAGAGAAAAATAAAACAAGTGGGTATATTGTGTGCGCGGCTGTGTCCAGTACGCCCTGAGAGACAACAAAGAAACACACTGGAAACTACGTCGAGTAGTAGTAGTAGTAGGTAAAAAAGAAGAAAACAGAGAGACAGAGAGAGAAGGTAAAAAAGGAGCAAACGCGCGCAAAGCAGCAGCAGAGAAAGAGAAGAAACACACGAGCGAGTAACGAGTGAGACTGCAGCTCTGAACCGTCTGTGTATATATCTCGCGCGCGCGTCGCGGGTAACAAGAGGAGCTGCTGCTGCCGCTGCTGCTGCTCGGAGAGCCACGCGACCCTGCCTGGGAGATTAAGAAAAGAAACGGCTGCAGCTCGAGCGAGCTGCACGAGAATATAACGAAAAAATAAAGGAGGTAAAAAACGTAGCACAGGTAGTAGAATAGCCACGGCACTATAGCTAGTAGCACGCCGCTATAATTCAAGTTTAATGTCAACCCGAGGTGAGAAGAAGAAGCGTGTCTTGTATAATACGGTCCGGCGATCGAGCTAATTTCGCCCGCACATATGAGACATCGACGATGTTCTGTACCAATTTTCGTGCGAACGAGACGACTACCCGTCCAATGCGTAGGAGATGTTATTTGAAAGTTTTTCATTACCAAACAAATAGTTCGACTAGACCACACCAAGATTGATGAAGGCCTCCCCCAGCGTCTCGAAAGAAATAAAAAAATCCTACTCTCAATTAACTACCATGCAAAGTGTCGCCTTGTACATAATTGCCCAGATACAATCGCGCTCTATTATAGCGAGTAACCGCGCGCCGAAGCATTCAACGCGCTCGTAAGACAGTTAATACGCGGCGCGCGCTTCTTTATTCGCGAGAGCTATATTTCACACAGCCAACGACGCGAGCCGCGCGTCAAAAGAATGTAAATTATATATAATATAATGCGCGGCATCTGAAAAGGCTATTATTCGCTCGGCGACACGATTCAGCTCACGTATATTTATAAGAAAAAAGAAAAGAAGGCGCACGCGCGTAATATGCTCGGGCGCGTGCTCTTCTTTTCTGTACCGCACTTCGCTCGCTTGTAATATACAATATTATATATCGTACGAATGCACGAGTAGTGGTTTATAAATTTCGAATAAAAAAAAAAAAGGAAAGGAAAGAAGAAGGAAGTAATGCTATAACGATTTCGTCTATGCCTGCCGCGGTTTCTATATTATTAAGGAACATTGTCGAGCACTTTCGAGTCGTTTATACGAATGAAAATGCACAGCTGATAAAGGAGCTTCTTTCTTCTGGATGGCAAAGAGAATTCAAGGGAAAATATATGTATAATAATATAGAAAAAAAGGGAGGGGAGCTCTGAAATATTGCACGCGTCTCGCGCGCGTGAAGTTTATTAAAGAAAAGTGCTAGCTTGGGTGGCGCGAGAGGTTCCGAGGTCCTCTCCGATCCTGAGCGACAGCTCGCACGAATAAAGAAGAAGAAGAAGAAGAAGAAGCGAATATCGCGTCCGCGGTGGAAGAGAGAATATAAAGAAAAAAAGGTACGCTGTCGCGCTAGTAGCTCGAAAAGCTCAAAATGATGACGTGAAAATGACGCGACGACAAAGATCCAGAGAGAGAGAAAGAGACTATAGCAGCAGCCCTGCGCCACGCAGTCATATACCCTTTTTTTTAGACATATAGTACATTTTTATATTGCCTCGACTACACGGGGGCCACACACATCAGCCGATCTCGCGCGCCGCGTTGAAAGGAACTTGCTTGCGCCAGCTTTTTGCGTTGATTAGCTACGAGCGACGTATATATATCGTAAAGCTCTTTTTTTTTCTCTCTCGCTAACAATGTAAAGCTTTCACCATATATTTAACGAGTTCCAGCTGTGCGCGTAATGTACTACTGCCATACCATATCGATTCTGTAGTCGTCGTCGTCGCTGCCTCTGCCGCTGCGCTAAAAGTGCTCAATTCTCAGCTGGGTATTCAATTATTTACTCGCCGGAGTTTGAGCTCCGAAATCGTCGTCGTCGTTGTCAAAAGCTCCATACTATACCATCGCGAGCCCGAGGTATAGGATTTTTTCCTCGCGCACACACACATGAACTATTACGCTCATTCGTTAAATAGACTTTCGGGGCCTCCGGGAGAGCGTGAAATTGAAAAATTAACACACAGCCCCGACGACGACGGAAGAGCGACAAAGCGGATTTGACGGAAAAAACGATGCTCGGGCGCGGGAAAAAGCGCGCGCGGATATTATCGGTAGGGAGAGAGAGAAAAAGTATTAACCAGCGTATATAACGCGAGCGATAAGCTCCGGTGTTATATCTATATACGAATCGTACTACAGCCGCGTAAAAAAGATGAAAGCAGAGAAATTACTCGCATTAAAATGAGAAAAGAACCCCCGCGTGTAGTAGTACTACTGCTGCTGCTGTGTGACGAGAAAAATCGGGAGTACAAAAAAATAAAAGAAGTTGAAGAAGAGCTCGAGCCCGGAGAGTCGGAACTGGGTGTGTGTGTGTATTTCCGAGCAGCAGACCGTGGAAATGATTCGCTATATATACGTAAGGCCGAGGTAAAAAAAAAAGAAGAATAAGAAGAAGAGCGTGAAAAAAATCTCTATCTCTCTCTCTTCGTTCTGTGACGAGCTAGGACACGACACGCGTACGCGCGTAAATCTAATAAACGGATGTAAATTTATAGATATTCCGGATTGATTGCAAAAGTGAATATAGTATATTCCTAGGCTACCACTGCTGCCATGTAACATCGTCGGATAATATTATAAAATACTCACGAAGAGAACGACGTTGTAGATGTGCAGCACGTATTTGAGAAAGTTGACGGAGCAGCAGCCGTCGTCGCGCGTCCTGATCCTGGTGTTGGTGCCGGGCAGTCTCTCCGCGCCCTTCGCCATCTTGTGACCGTGTCGCGGATGATTGTGGAGATGATGACTGTGATGATGATGGAAGGAGGGCGGTGGCGAGCTCTCCGGCTGCTGATACAACTGCTGCTGCTGCTGTTGGGCCTCTTGCAGCGATCGTCTCTTGCTGCCGTACCACGCTGTCACCTTGTCATTGTCGCCCTGCGAAAACGAGAATTGAAACAACTTATTCGATGTTGCGATATTGATTGTAACGATATAGGATATTATACGGTTTATATCGATTGTTGCGGTGGTTGCCGCGTGCACCACCTTATATAATGCAGAGACTCTCGCGAAGCGTAAATAGCTTTTGTGCGATGTACTATGTGCGGGCGCCTGCACAGAGATCGAGCTTTGCTACTGATGCTTATAGCCGCACGTCAATGCGTTTACTGTTCGGGCTTGTGTGCAAATAATTGGGAATAGCGGCTACCTAACCGTGGACAATAATGACATTGGTTCGCGTACGTGCATTTTGATCAGTCGCATATGCGTATCAGAGAGTCCGATATAGTATATAGATCCGATCTGATTTATGGAAGATTCGTGCGCGTACGTCACGCGCGTAATTGTAATTTTCACGAGCTGATATGATTTTTTTGTATCAACTATTAGCAAAAGTCAACAACCGACACGCTCCACTAGCACAGAGGATCGCCTCAAAGCATGATACCAATAGCATTAGCTATTGGATGAAAAGCTTTTTTGATTGTGTGGAGAACTTACCTGTAGAATTTATATCTGATGGCTCACGAGCTTTATTAAATGGAGCCAGTCTGGCTCTAAATAAATGTTCTTATGAATTTTATTTGAGAAAGTGCCTTCAAGTTCTATTAGATGATTCAGATACAAGACCGTTTCCATGTTTTTTGAGGGGTGATAGAGCCCACATTATTAAGGCCACCACTAGATGGGAAAATTTAAAATCAGTTAAGTTGCAAGTAAAAAATTTCTACGTTAGTGTAATTGCTGCGTGCATTACTGTAGATAAATTTGACAACTTATTGAAAATCATAAAGAGTATTTTCATTATATCTCAATGCAAGTACTCGAATAAAAATTCATGGGCTCGCATTGAATTCGATTTTATTATAAAAATATTTCAACACCTAAATGAAGATGAAGTCAACGAAATCTGCAAATGTGAAGAAATCACTGAAGACATACAGGACCCTAAAAAAGAAAATGAACGACTCGAACAGCAATTACTGGAAAACGATGTCACTAGCAGCAGTGTGCATCAATACTTGAAAGAAATTTATGAAGACATTGGAAAGAAATTAAAAAAAGTTAACGAAGAAACAGTCATTGCTCCAAATCCCTATTGTAAACTGGAATTAAAAAATAATTTATTGTTGACATTGGCTCAATTCCCTGTGTGGACTAATGTAATGATGAAGTCATTCAAAATTACTAAATATGAAGCTTCTTCAGCATATATTGAAACATAATTCAAAGACCTTAAGCACACCCACGGTATGAAGTATTCAGTTAGTGCCAACCGATTTATTTTAAAACATACCGGAAAAGTTCTGCAATCTCATAAACAACAACAATCTTATAAACAATTTTCCAGCAATCAAGAAGATCAAAGATCAAGAAGAATAGACAATCAAGAAGAAAGAAGTTTAATATTAAATGGAATGTTTTTTAATACATCAAACTTTTACATTGTTCATGAAGGCTTAAATATTGTCAAATTTAAAAACACATGTGGTTATGACAGCCTTTTTGAAATACTAATGTCTGCCTACAAAAGTAGCAGCGTTTTTGAAAATTTCATTAGGTTGTCAGCAACAAAACCATTTGCATTATGTTTGCATAAATATGCGAGTAATATATTTTCATTGACAAATTGTTATGAAGATGGAGCATGTTGTACAATGGGTTGTGGAGGGGACGAATTCGAGCGAGTCTGCGAGTTTTTGCAGAGTTTCGCCGACATCGTAAGCGTTCAGTTAGTCAAAGCGGAAACACCCTTGACCGTCACCAGACTGATGTATGACGAGTGATCCTGAGGAGGGTCGATGTTATTTGTTGCCTCTTAGTTTACAAGTTTTGCAAACTCTACGTTTAGTCCTGAGAAAGACTAGTTTTGATGCAGGCTGTTACTTTGTGCAGAAGGACTGGCTATGACCGATGTTGACCGGCGATTTTCTGTTCCAACTTGTAAGGCACTTATACTAGTACTCTGAACTCGACCTTTTCTCTTGCAGGCACGACTTTTCTATGGCGCCAAGCCACCTGGCGGCCGAGTCGGAAGTTTGAAAAGTCAAAAGGTGGGGAAAAGTATAGAAATGATGAGGCGAGTATTTTGTAATTTAACCAAGTTCACTATTGAAAAGTAGCCCTAGGTCAAAACTCTTCCCTAGAGAGAAACGACTTCCCTTTGCGTGACCGGGCGCCTCGCTTACATCGGAAGCGAGTGCGCGCTGATTGGCTGATGCCGCGAGGTGGGGACGAGTGCAGCAGTGCACGTCGTTTGAGTGGGGACGCACGCAGGGGTCTCGGCGTTGGTGGGGATAACAAGCAGAAATTTTATTAGCATGTTTTGATAAACAAATTGGTCCTGTGATTAATTGTAAGAGCAATGTAACCACATTGATCGAAAAGTTTAAGTTAAATTATTAAAACCTTCGCTAAGAAGAAATATTGTTTGTGAATGCAACAATATCGTTATCAGCAACGAGCATTACAATACTATTCTGACTTTACAGCAAATTCGAAAAGATGGATTAAAAAATAAGTATAAAAGGTGAATTATACTGTCTAGTAAAAACCATGGCTCGATTAAAATTAAATTTATAATATAACGCAAAAGTTGTAAAACTCGTCCCGCGTGCGATTGCGGCCATAAACCATCAACTAGTGGTAACAGTGTTTTTATTTTTTCATGAAAGTACGGCTATAAAAGAGATTAAAGATTTTTTTGCAATTCTAGCTGACTAAACATCGAAGCTACGATCGAAGTCGGAAAGACGTATGCAGATTTTAGCGTGGGTTGTGCATCGATGTAAGATCACTACTACGTACAATCAAGAGATCGTATTTTCATGCTTGAGCTAGGATCATCCCTATTTATTAAATAAATAATTCAAAAGATATTTTTTCAATGTACTGTCGAATGCTATTTCGATAATTTTTAAAATTTTATAATGACTTTTATAATTCTTCAGCTTTGCTTCGGCTTACGTCGATACTTTCGGTCCCATTTACTAAATGCACATCTTTCGAAAGACGTATAATCGGTTTACCTGAAGCCCGAGGATATTTATTTATGCAAACACATGGTACACAGCAGAGAGCCATTAAGATCGTGTGCAGCTGTACCTTCGGTCAGACCTATTTTTTAATACGCATATTAAAATCCTAATGTAAATAAATCCGTTGCTCGGCAGCTGTTCGATGGTAATGAATTACAAACATAATGCGCGATGCGTTAAGCTACGTCCTAGCTCCAAATGGTTGCTCTTTGGAAGAAAAAAAAATAATATCGACGACGCAGCCGCTCGGTCGACTATGCATATGATTAAAATTTTCATTCGACGTCTATGTAGCGCTCCGCCGTATCCGCGTGTTTATGGGCGAAGCCGTAAAAGGCTAAATGCAATACCGCTGTATTTTTTGCAATTGATATAAAATTCGATGTACGGGCCGTAATTCTTCGCGCTGTAAATATATATAGAGCACATCTCGGCACCTTAGCGCGCGCGCGCCACCAGGGGCTTACATTCCAATTTCTCGGGAGAAGAAGAAAAAAAGTAGTCCGGGCGCATCCGAGGGGTTCGTTTTTTCCCTTTTTTCCTTCTTTTTTTGGGGGGGGCTCGAAAGATATTTGCACTTAGACACATGCGCGCGCGCGCGCGTACACGGTAAATACACCTCGAAAGAATAAGGAGAGGAGGCCCTGTGCAGCCTCCGAGAGTCTCGCGGAAAATCCGCAACGATTTATGTCGTTTCATTTTCTGCGCGTATGTGTACACGTGAGAAAAAAAAAGTGAGAGAAAAAATTCGAGGTACACAAACAGCATACGTGTTGCGTCTCACGCTGTCTTTGCTGCTCGCGAGTAATTTTCAAGATTTATTTCTAGTTACGTAGGCATTGATAAAGTACATCTTTTATTTTTTCGCTATACAATTTTTCGCTACTTTAAATGACGTTAAAATGATGAATCTTTCAAAGGTAGGGGCGTTCAAAATTGGGTTTAGTAATGATTTAACACTGAAAACTTCACTGTTAAAAAAATCGTAAATTTAATTCAGAATCATTGAAAAATCAGACATTAATATTAACCCATTAACGCGCAAAAGTGCAATTTTGTGCATGAATTTTCCGTTGTAAAAAAATTATAGATAAAGTTAAAATATTTTCTTGAAAATCCATACCCAGGGGTTTTTGGGTATGCTCTTTCAGTATCCGGTGTTATTTTTGCGATAAATAAACATTATCATCGTTTATTTTGCCATTAAAAACAAAAAACGTGATTTTTTTACTCAAAATTTTTTTTCAAAGTCGATTTTCTACCTTGCCTTGCCTTCGGAGGGTTCCCATAACACCAGAAATCGTGCACTTTTTCTCTGAACCTTCAAAAAATGCGCTGCCGCGATTTTTATCTAGACCCTACAATTTCTAAAATGGCGAATTTATACCGAGCAGCGATATGAAAATTGCCTTATTTTTTATTTGTAAATTATTGACTTTATAAAAGAAAGTCATACAATGGAAAGTGTTCAAATTTGTTCAAAGAATACATGTGAATTTTTTTTAGAATTTTTTAATAATTTTTTCAAAATTTTTCAGATTTTTTTTGGAACATTTTGGATTTTTTCGACAGTCCGGGAAATGGTCGTATTTTAAAAAATTTTAAAAGTGGTCTGAAAAATTCTGAAAAACTCACACGTATTCTCTAAACGATTTCAAATAAGTTTTTACACTCCAAATTGTACTTTTGAGTTCATATTTAGCGCATGTAAAATAGGTTCTGAGTAAAAAATGAGTGGATTTTTATACCGCTGCTCGGTATAAATTCGCCATTTTAGAAATATAGGGGCAAGATAAAAATCGCGGCAGCGCATTTTTTGAAGGTTCAGAGAAAAAGTGCACGATTTCTGGTGTTATGGAAACCCTCCGAAGGCAAGGCAAGGTAGAAAATCGACTT